AGTAAAGACTTGTGTCGTCAAAGTTTCGTCGGAACGAAGTTACGGAAAAATCAATTAACAAACGGAGACGTAACAGTATCATACAGTTGAAATCCGTAATTATATTTACTGTTCCCTACAGCTTAGAACTGACATATTTCACTCCAATATACTATTTTCAATATAAAGTATCTATGTAGGTTAGGTTAGGTTAGGGTTAGGTTAGGTTATGACTACAACTTGAAATAAAATAATCAAGTATTGTGTTTGTTTATACAAAACAGACAGACAAACAAGAGATTATCTTCCCGTATCTTTCAAGCTTCTTAGGATAGAAGACAATAAATATATATATCTTTTATTTCACATTTTATAAATCCTTCATGTTTACAATCCAAACAAACTGTTCAGTTAGTGTACAATTATTTCATACTGTGGCTGACATACAGCAAATGGTCAGAAGTTCAGACTGTGTCAGTCGGCTTAGAATGCTTTTCAAAATGAAAGATCGGTTCAATTCTAATTTATCATATTTACTTAGGTTATACAAACATATAAAATGTATGAGATTGAATTACACATTATGTACTTGTGTATTAACAGAGTTAGTTGTTTCCAGGTTGTGTTCCTATACTTCTTCACAATTAGAGTTGACAATCATAATCGTATAAGAACCTCAAGTTATAAATCAAGTGATTTTTCTTCGACTATTTCAAAACAGATATTTCCTCACGTGGATTTTGAAACTGTTAACATAACATGAATTATCTTTCATTTACATTTTATAGACAGATAATCAACTGTATAAAAATCATCAGTGTTCTGTGATATTCTTATATGAAACTCACTTCTCATCATAGACTAATATACAATCTGTAGTTTATGTAAGTAAAATCTGAGACTTAAGTATCATACATATTGAAACATTGGTTAACAAAACTTTAAGATACAATCCCACTATTCGTTGGTAAAAGAGTAGCCCACGAGTTGGCGGTGGGTGGTGATGACTAGCTGCCTTCTATCTAGTCTTACACTGCTAAATTAGGGACGGCTAGCACAGATAGCCCTCGTGTAACTTTGCTTGAAATTCAAAAACAAACAAACAAACAATCTTACAACTTATACCAATCTCCATGATGAAGATGAAGAAAATGATTTTGTTTTAATGTATGAACATTTAAAAATTTAATTGTAGCAAATTAGTACATATGTTAAAATATGCAAAATATTGGTTTTAACATAACTAAAATGTAGACGTTGATGACGTAACATCATATGGAAGTATAGTAACACTGTCACAGTATATTTGTTAAAATCCCAAGGACAGTCATAAAAAATGGTTTTAACATAATTAAATTCTAGACGTTGATCATATGTGGAAGTGTAGTGTCCACTTTGTAAAACATGGGATAAAACTATAAAGTATTATGTATAAAATTAAATATTTTGTCAAGTTATGGCAAAAATTCAAATCAGTAAAAATGTAAGTTTAACCATTGCACAATATCTAATAAACGTCTTATTGATGACACATGTTGAGACACATTGAAAAACACTTTGCTTTAGTAACACGATGTATATGTTTAATGCCATTCACCGTAGTAAAACATATTGTTACGACAGCGGAAGTCACGCGACCCTGGGAGCA